CTTTTGAAGTCACCATAGACAAGGCACCTTCATATACGATAAGTCATTACAAGGAAGTAACTCATAATACAATCCAAGTATAGCATGCATCTTTACATTTAAGCATATAAGAGTCAACATTCTTCATTAACTTCATTTAGAGCACCTTCATTCATTTGACATTAGATCATCATTCTCATTAACTTTATCATAAGAGGACATTCATACATTAGCCATTAAGACTTAGAGAACTCACTATGACCCACTCAAAGCCTACTCATGCAATGCATGGATTACATCCCCTACTACCACCCACACTTCATAGAATTCATCAAGAAATCATATTGAACATCTCATATGATGGGAATAGGCATTAATCGACATAGACCATGAGAGCTAAATCATGGAATCTGGAGTCATATAACCCCACACCGAAGAAAGGTGTTCTACTTGTCTAGGGTAGAACTAACAAACATCCTATGTAGGCACATAGTTATGGGATAAGAAAGATATTCATTGGACTCTAACCTAACATTGGGAGAGTCACCATCTTAGCCATATCCACTTGGTGCTTACCGTCCATTCCCATAGAGTAGTTCATTCACAATACATTGTTGTATTTGAGAGGGCCACCAACATTAGGCTTACTGACCCAATGTCCATTAGGCGAGAAAGGGCTACCACTATTAGGTCTACCGATTCAAGGTACATTAAGGATACCTCATTGACTTTCCAAGAATAGCCACCATCATTAGGTCTACCGATACAAGGTTCATCATTTCACACAAGAAAGGGCCACCAACATTAGGTCTATCGCTTCAAGGTTTATCATCACATTGGTTTTTAAACTTATCATGAAGGGCCACCACATTTAGGTCTACCGGTTTAAGACAACCTAAAATACCTCATTAGTCTTTCATAAAAAGGCTACCAACATTAGGTATACCAATTCTAGGTTATTCATTCATTCTTTCACGAAAAGGCTACCAACATTAGGTCTACCAATTCATTTAATTAAGACATTAAGTCAAGATACATTCATTATTCAAGAGAAGGATGCGATACATTTATTATTCAAGAGAAGGATGCCTAAGCCTACCGATTTAAGATACTTCATTAGTGATCACATTCACCAATACAAGAAGTGGATGCCTTAGCCTACCAATTCAAGATACACATTCACTTTTACATTCACTCATACAAGAATAGGATGCACAAGCCTACCAATTCAAGATATACAACATTACATTATAGAACCCTTCACATTCCATCATCCACATTCATGAGTGTTAAGTGAGAATATGCTTTCAATCACAAAATATTTACATTCTATACAAGATCATCATTCTATCATTGAAATCACATGCATATCCTTCACATTATACATAGTAACTAAACACCTCCACCTTTCATGTGGATCAATACAATTAGGCAAGAGTAATAGCTTAATTTCAACATTCTATATCCATGTAAACATTAACAATTCATATTCCATCATAATCAATCAAATCCCAATACCAAATCACAATTTAGGAATTTGGGGGAAAACATGGGTTCTAGGAAGAATTCATCTTAAATCATCTTGAAATCCACAATCCATTCACAATTCAGTGCAATAATTCCTTTAGAAATCTTTTTGAATAGAACCCATGCATTGGTTGAAAGTTAGGGTTTTGGGGTAAACGTTGAAGATTTCAAATCACTTTGAAGTTGGCTCCTTGAAAGATAATAAGTCAAGGATGAAGAACACCATACCTTTAATGGAGAAATCCCACGAAAATCTCTTGAAAAACCAGAAGATTTTGACCTTGGAAGCTTGAATCTTCACCTCCAATGGAGGTGTCTAGAGAGAGAGCTTTTGGAGGGGAGGGGAGGTTTTGATTTGTGGTTTTGAAATAATGAGGTCTAAATGTGTTTTAATACTTTAAAAACCTTTAAAATACCGTAATTAACTAATAAAACCGTCCCCTAACCAAACAAGACCTAGGGTGAATTTACCAATTCACCCCCACTTTGGCCGAACCCATTTGACTGATTGTTAGTGCAAGCCATGCCCTAGACTCACAGACCGTCCTGTTGGTCCGTGGTGTGGGGCTGCAGCTTTTTAATAGGGGGCTTGATTTACGGAGCAAGCCCACATCATGGTTTAGTCTACGGGGCGTGGTCCCCTTCTGTGGTTCACCAAAACTTGAGTCGCTTGTTGGTTTCAATGGGCCTTGGGGGTTAGGCTGAGGGTCTCCTGAAGGACCCCTAGGGTAGTCCTTGGGGAGTCGTACCTTGATGTTTGACCCCTAAACCCTTCAACCAAAGCTCAAAAGAACATTAAAACACCCTCAAACTTCATGACAACTCAAAGACACATAAGTTAATCTCTAGTTTCACTTATTCGTTTTACGTGTCGTTACACCAAACATTATGAAAAGACTTCCGAAGCTGGGCGGTGAATTATGCATCCCTATCTGAGATGATAGACACAGGGACTCCATCAAGTCGGACTATCTCTTGGATGTATAATCTGGCATTATATTTTGCTGAATTGTGGTCTTTACTAGGAAGAAATGGGTTGATTTAGTCATTTGATCTACAATCACCCAAATTGAATCATGTTGCCTAGGAGATCACAACAAGCCAGTAATGAAGTATGCATTAATCATCTCCCACTTCTATTCCGGAAGAGCTATGTTTAGAGCCACACCACCTGGCCTTTGGTTTTCTATCTTGACTTGTTTGTAATTTGGGCACTTAGCAACGACATCTGTAATGCACCTCTTCATACTATTCCACTAATAGACTTCTCTCAAGTCATGGTACATCTTTGTGGAACCGGGATGTATCGAATATCTGGAACTTTGAGCTTCTTCCATGATCATCTCTGGGAGCTCATTCACTTTTGGTACACACAATCTACCTTGATATATCTCAACACACCATCTCCCCCTTATTCAAAAGCCATTACCTTTTGCTTATGAACATTTTCCTTTAGTTCAAGTAAGAGACGGTCTTTGTCTTGTGTTTCCTTCACTTCAGACACTAATGATGATTCAGCCCAATTCATCAGCACAACTCCACCTTCACTGGAATCTAACAAACGGACTACCAAATGTGCTAGTCTGAACTTCCTTAGACAATTCTTTCTTGCCTTCCTGAACATGAGCAGTACCCCCCATGGACAACCTTCTTAAGGCATCAACACCAACACTAGCCTTACCTTGGTGATAGAGGATACTCATGTCGTAATACTTGAGCAACTCAAACCACCTCCTTTGTCTGATATTAAGCTCCTTCTGACTAAAAACATACTAGAGAATCTTATGGTTCGTGAACAGATCCACATGAACACCATAGAGATAGTGACACCATATTTGGAGAGAAAAAACCATTGTTGCCAATGCGAGATCATAAGTCAGGTAGTTCCTCTCATGACTCTTAATTTGTCTGGAGACATAGACTATAACCTTACAATACTGAATCAACACAAAACCAAGTCCAACTCTGGACGCATCACAATAAACAACAAAACCCTTTGTACTCTCTGTAGGGTCAATTTGGAGTAATGATTAACAAACTTTTCAATTTCTGTAAGCTCTTCTCACAAGCTTCAGACCATTGAAACTTAGATGTTTTTGAGTCAACTTAGTCGATGGGGATGAAGTATATGAAAATCCATCGATGAACCTCCTATAGTAACTAGCCAACCCCATGAAACTCCTTATCTCCATTAGAGATCTGGGTCTGTGCCAGTTTTGCACTGCTTCAATCTTCTGAGTGTCAACTCAAATCCCTTCACCAGATACAATGTGGCCTAAGAACACCATAGACTCAAGGCAGAACTAACACTTAGAAAATTTGCCATATAATTCTTGATCCTTGATAGTTTAGAGGACTATTCTGAGATGACTAGCATCGTCCTCCTCATTCTTCGAATATATCAATATGTCATCAATAAGTATATTGACAAACATGTCAAGTTATGGCTTAAATACTCTCTTCATAAGATCCATGAACGCTGCAGGAGCATAAGTTAAACCAAATGACATAATAAGGAACTCATAATGACCATAACGGTCCTGAATGCTATCTTCAGGATGTTACTTTCTCTCACTTTCAACTAATGATTGCCAGATCTGAGGTGTATATTAGGGAAACAAGTGGCAGCCTGAAGTTGGTCAAAAAGATCAACAATTCTCAGAAGGGGATACTTATTCTTTATGGTGACCCTGTTCAACTGGCTTTAATTGATACACATCCTAAGGAAACCATCTTTATTTCTCACGAATAAGACCAGAGCGCTCCAAGGTAAGATACTTCATTGGATGAAACCCTTATAAAAAAGATCTCTCAACTGCTCTTTTAACTCATTTAACTCAAGTGGAGCCATTCTATATGGCAGAATATATATAGGTTGAATATCAGGAAGAATATCTATTATGTAGTCTATTTCTCTCTCTGGAGGGACTTCGGGAAGATCATCTGGAAAGACCTTTGGTAACTCACTCACAACTATAACTAACTGAATAGGTGGTGTCTCAACACTAGAGTCATTAACTTGGACTAAATCATAGATGCACCCCTTAAAAAATAACTTTCTAGCCTTAAGGTATGAAATGAAACAACCCTTTGGCTTTGCAGAACTACTCATCCACTCTAAAACAAGTTGTTTAGGAAACTGAAACTTGACTACTCGAGTTCTACAATCAACTGAAGCATAACAAGCATGAAGCCAGTCCATACCTTGAATAACATCAAAGTCCGTCATATCTAGCTCCACTAAGTTAACCATGGTGTCCTTGTGATTGACAAAGATGTTACAATCACGATAGACTTATTCTGCTAGAATATAATCACTAATAGGTTTTAAAAACACTAAAGGGCTCAAGAAGTTGCTCGGGGGAAATACCAAACTTCATGACTACATAAGAAGTCACAAAAGACAAACTCACACCTGGATCAAGTAGTGCATAAACATCAAAAGTAAAAACTTTAAGCATACCAGTGACAACATCTAGTGAGTTCTGCTGATCCTAGCGACTAGCTATAGCATAGAGAAGATTTGTACCCCCGCCTATTCCTGGAGCAGCTCCTCTCTGGCTATTTCTATCTTCTGGAGCTGCTGAAGAAGATTGGGCTTTATTGCCCCCATTACACTGCTTGTTCTTAAGGAATTCCCTAGAAAAGTGACTTGTCCTTCCACACTTGAAGAAACCATCGATACCAACACGATGTTCTCCAGAATGAAGCTTACTACACTTACAACAAAGTGGGTTGCGAGTGAACCTTTGTGCCAAACTGCCATGCGATTGAGAACCTTGAGCTCTGAAACTCTAGGAGTTCTAGTTTCTATAATCATTCTTACTCTTTGGTTCAGGCACACTAGTTGACGATGGAGAAGGCCTTGGTGACCTTTGCTGAAAGGATGATCAATTTATATTTCCTGTCTTCTACTAGCCGGCTCATGATTTTTGTCTTAGCCCTCTTACTACGAAACTCTTCCCTATTTTTCAATTTGTCTTCCTCAACCTGCTGTACATGAATCATGAGCCTGGCTATGTCCATATCTCTTATCAACATAGCCTCCTTAACTTTCTTGCTCGATAAGATGGATAATCTAGACAAAAACAAGCTCATTCTGCTCCTCAAGCCACAATCTCCGAAGAATAACGGGATAGTTAGGTGAACTTGATGTTGTACTCTTGCACACTCATTGACTCCTACTTCATATTAAGAAACTATCTTACCATTTCTTCCCTTTGCTCTAGGGGAAATAAGTGCCCACAAAACATCTTTAAACACATCCCGACTCAACTATGGTGCCCCTTCTGCCTTGTTCTTCATCCACAGATCCTACAATATCCCAATAATACCTTTGAGCGGGTACATAGCCAACTCTACAAGATTGACTTAAGCAACTTGCATCAGCTCAAACACATTCTGAAGTTCATCCACGAAGTTTTCTAGGTCCTCATTCAGCTTCAACCTAGTGAACTTTGGGGGACTCATTCTTAGAAACTCTTGGACTATTTATGTACCATTCACATCATATTGGCCGGCTCCTTGGAAATGAACTTGTGCTGTCACCACATGAGTCAACATATGAATGACATTCCTGAACTCAACATTGGTGACATCTCCCCATGGGGGTTGCACTTCTAGTGCATTTGGAGTTTCTTGTCATTGAAGATTAACATTCTTCCTAGTAGGACGCCCTTGAAAAGCTCTTCATGGAGGCATGATTTGAAAAGACATGTGTAAGCATGAGTTAGAGTAAACATTTAGATAGTTTCACCCACATTGCAAGGGCCATCCTATACTTTGGCAAGGTATAGGATGATATGATATTGTAACTATGGATCCATATAATAGGCCTTCTCAGAGGCAGTGAGGAGTCACATGACGAATCAATGCTCCCCTATCCTACGATAGCTAATAAGTTTTATGGGACTTTTGAGTTATAAAAGACTCTAAACCAATTAGGTGCTTGATACTACTCTCAAAATAATAAATATCAATTATGCTCAATTCACTCTTTACAAAGAAATGGGCTATTACATTACTGAAGTACTTTTCAAAAACATAACTCATAATTGCATTTAAACGTATACTTATGGACTTATCCTTCAAGACCAAGATCGATATGCATAGCCTTGAAAACTGTTATATTCTTTTTGAAAATATAGCCCTTAAACTTTTCATGTAAACTCAATTTAGTTTTGAATGCACACCAAGACACGTGATTAGGATATATAAGGAAATTCAAAGGCAAACAGAGCTTGTAGGAGTTAATATAGAAAAGGGAAATGTAGCCACAACTTGAACGAACACGCGTTGGATGAAACACATAAGAATTGGCGCTGTGACCCCTAACGTAGTGCTGTCCCCGGGCCCCAAAGAACTGGGTTTGGTTTGGGCGCACTGCTGGCGCGTCGTTGAGCCCTAAAGAACTGGTGCTGGTTTGGGCGCACTATTGGTGCTCTGCCTTATGACCCTAAGTACTAGTATTGGGTTCAGGCGCATTGCTGGTGCGCCACCTTAGCCCTTCCCTAGCGACCCCATAATGGTTTTTTAAAAAGATTAAAGCTTCAAACTAGTTTAGAATTGGGAAGTTTTTCCTAAATTCTTCTTGTTTATCAAACCCACAATTAATACATGAGAACTTCATACAATTCCTTTGGGAAACATAACTTAACCAACTTAATAGGGTTCATGTAAGTCTAAGATGAATAACACTATAGGATTCACAAAACAAAAGAATTGTATCAATTTGTTAAAGAAGTGAATTCAAATATCAAGAAGTACGAATGGATACCTTAGATGTAACAATTTCTTGAGTCGATTCCCACAGTTAATGAGTTTTTGGAAGGTTCTCAGATGATCTTCCCGGTATTCCTCCTGAGAGGGAAATAGACTTTGGTATTAACCTTCTCCCACATACGTAACCTGTAATACCTTGGTACTCGAAAGAGCTAATTTTAGAAAGAACTAAATTGGAAAGAGCCAAATTGAGAATTTTGCAAGTTATGCTTAAGTTGAGAGTTTTGGGTTAACTTCAAACGGCCATAACATTCAGTACAGGATGAGCTACATGGCCCATAAGATCTAAAATGAAATATATTTGAATCCTCTTTCCAACGCCACTGAGTTTACTAAATTTTGAGTTCGGATGACAGAGATATGCCCGTGTGAAGTTAGCCTGTCCACCTAAAGAAAATTTACCCAAATTAATGATGGGTTTTTTGGTCTTTTCCTTACCCCATTAACTTTAAACGTTTCGAGTAATATATTACGGGTCAAATCTGATTAAAATCAGTTTACGCATAAGTCTAAAGCATTAAAGAAAGCTAGGGAAAAATTCACGTGGAGAAAAGAAGATTTCAAGAAGTTCTTCAAGATTTCAGAGAAATCGCCAAGAACTTGGTTCTTTTGAGGTAATTGAAGTTTCTCATAGTGATGGATATGTTCATTCTCATGCCAAACATGTATTTCTTTCATTAAATCATCTATGAAATTGTTATGTATAGGTTCTTGAGGAATTCTTAGGGTTTTACTTCATTCTTTATCAATGGAGTCAGGTAGGATTGTTAAAGTAAGGTTTTTGCGAATACGTGTTATTCTTGGTATAATTGAGTGAGTTTTCGATGAATTTTGTTAGGTTTATGGATTAAAATGAGTTTGGGAATGAATCATTCGATTCCAAGGGGGGGGGGGGGGTTAGGCCATGAATTGAACAAGAAAAACTCATCAAAATTCTAGGTTTGAGGTGGGGCATCGCTCCCCCAAGGGGCCAGGGGACCTGGCGCGACGCGCCAGCAATGTGCCCAATCAGACACCCAGTAAATGGGGGCCTGCCGTGATGTGCCAGCAGTGCACCCAATCAGACACCTTGTAAATATGGAACTGACGCAACACGCCAACAGTGCGCCCAATCAGACCCCAGTAAATAGGGGCCCAGAGCGTTGTGTGCCCAATCAGAGCCCAGTAAATAGGGGCCTGGAGCACTGTGTGCCCAATCAGACCCCAGTAAATGGGGGCCTGGCTCGACACGCCATTAGTTTGCCCATTAAGACCCCCGATAAATGGTTCCTTTTCTATTCTCGTTTCGTATTTGTTCCTTTGAGATGAGTTGTCATTCTTTTCTTATTATCAACTATCCAAACCTCCATTAATCATTGAAAAATCTTATGTATATTCTAATCATCATTCTTAAAGTCACATTTTCAAGTCATGGTAAAGTTAAGAGGGAAGTTCAAATGTTTTATTTTATAAACACTTATGAGTTTTCAAATGCTATTTGTATAACTAAATGTATTCTTATATATCTATGTTGATTATTGAACTTGAAAGATAAGTTCACAAGTACACGTTTTAAAGAATGTAAACACGTCTAATGTTTGAAAAGTATTTCAAACAAGTAAGAAGTCCATTCCTTGTAATGGGAGAATTGAGCATAATGTTATATCTATTATTTTGGGAGTAGTATCAAGCACCGAGTTGGGTTAGACTCTCTTACGATTCGGAAGTCCCACAGAACTACGTAGCCAACATAGGATAGGATAACATTGACTCTTCATGCAACTCCTCACTGTCTCTGAGAATGCCAATTAGATGGATCCATAGTCACGATATCATACTATACCCCGACAAAGTATAAGGTGGCCCTGGCAACGTGAGGCGAAATGTTGTATCATTACTAGGATCATGATATTGGCTATAGGTTAGAGAAAATCCCCACAAGTAAAGTATATTATTTTCATGTTGCTTTCATTTCATATTATATTATAAAGCTTAAATGGGTTTTCAATTCACATTCATGTATTAATCCAGTTATGTTGTTTCAGTCCTTCAAAGAAAGATTGTTGTTTACGCTAACCTTTTCACGTACCAGTACATTCAATGTGCCGACGCTATTAGACCTACATCGTTTCATGATGCAGATACAGGTATTCAGGATCATCAACATGCGAATCATTGAGATCATTATCCACTCGCAAACAACATTTGGTAAGGCCTCCTTGCTTTCATAGGACTTCATTTCATTTTAGTTAGTATCTTTAGGAGGTGTCATGGGTCTTGTCCCGACATCCATCTCACATTGTTAGAGACTTCATAAACAGATTGAGTAGATGTTTCCATTGTTTTCTCAGTATATTCTATTTTACTTATAGTTCATGTTAAGTATTTATCAAACACAATATTTTAAGACTTTCTTAAATGTTCATTTGTTCACCTATTTAAGCTTACGCATATTGTTTAATGTCATGTAAGTCATGTAGCCAGGCCAAGGGTTCGCTTGGGGATCAACAATAGTTCTCGAGTGCCAGTCACGTCCAGGGTGTAGTTTATGGGTGTTACAAACTTGGTATAAGAGCATAGAGTTCCAGAGTCCTAGGGTGTCTATGAAGCTGTGTCTATAGAGTCTTAGTTAACGGTGTGAAGCGCGCCACATCTATAATTAGAAGGCTACAACATTTAGGAAAACACTTTACTTTTTTCTACTCCTGTTCGTGCGATAATGTCTAACTCTATGAAAACTTCTTCTAACTCGTACTTACGCGTATCTTTCAGATCATGCCTCCACAAAGATGTGCTCGAGGACGTCCTGCTAGAGGGAATATTAACCCTGAAGATCAAGGGGTTCCCAATGCACCAGAAGTGCAACCATCTCAGGGGGATGTCACAAATGCTGAATTTATGAATGCAATTCAAATGTTGACTCAAGTGGTGACAACATAGGTTGGTCGCCAAGGAACCGAACATCAAGATGGGAATGAGGCATCCAGGGTTCGAGAATTTTTAATAATGAGTCCCTTGAAGTTCACTGGGTCAAAGCTCAATAAGGATCTAGAAAGCTTTGTGGATGAATTACGGAGGGTGTTTGAGGTCATACATGTTGTTGATGTTGAATGTGTGGAGTTTGTTGCTTACAAGCTCAAAGGTCTGTCTAGGATTTGGTTTGATCAGTGAAAGAAAAATAGGGTCAAAGGGGCACCATAATTGACTTGGGTTGTGTTTCAAGATGCCTTCTTAGGGAACTTATTTCCGCGCGAGCTGAGGTAAGC